TTGGTTATTGTTAAGAATGTCCGTGCAGAAGTCCACTGAAACAATTTCTCTATGCGGATAATTCAAGAATACTACTACTGTTTATCAGACAAGCGGCACCAATAAAATAACCATATCAGCCAGTTAAATGGCCTGGGTAATATATTGATTTAAACAACTGCATAAAACTATCAAGCATCACTCAGAGCGAGTGTGTGTGTGTGTGTAAGCATGTTGGTTTGGATGTCATTGGCGATACATTGAGACTGCATTTCAGCCAGGCTGAATCAGGTGCGAGTAGGAGTTAAAAAATTATTATGTAGAAACAGAAGTACAATGAGTCAGAAAGAGAAAGAGAAAGAGAAAGGGCCCACAGAGACATGGACTAATAGAGTTGTTTTCTATTCAAGACCACCAGCCGCCCCTCACACACTCATGCACACAGATGAGGAATAGTTAGGATGATGAAAGAGGAGCATTGGAACTTGGAAAGGAAATGTGAACTGGAGAAAACAGTGACTTATTATTCAGTCTCCATCAGCATGCATACATATGTCACTTCTGTTAGTGCACAAAAAGAGCTTTTTCAATAATGCTTCAACACGTTAAAAAGCATGTTGGTTTGGATGTCATTGGCAATACATTGAGACTGCATTTCAGCCAGGCTGAATCAGGTGCGAGTAGGAGTTAAAAAATTATTATGTAGAAACAGAAGTACAATGAGTCAGAAAGAGAAAGAGAAAGAGAAAGGGCCCACAGAGACATGGACTAATAGAGTTGTTTTCTATTCAAGACCACCAGCCGCCCCTCACACACTCATGCACACAGATGAGGAATAGTTAGGATGATGAAAGAGGAGCATTGGAACTTGGAAAGGAAATGTGAACTGGAGAAAACAGTGACTTATTATTCAGTCTCCATCAGCATGCATACATATGTCACTTCTGTTAGTGCACAAAAAGAGCTTTTTCAATAATGCTTCAACACGTTAAAAAATAGCTTATTCAAAAAAAATCACACTTATTTGCAAATTTTCATCAACGCAGCTCTGACATTTAAACAGAAAATTTTTTAATCTGTGTAATAATGTGTACAGATTTATGAATTATGTACAGGATAAATGTTATCAAAAAATCAGCAATGCAAAAGCCTCTAAGTGCCGTCTGAATCTTTGTTTTAAAATGAGCATTTTTATCAGGCTCCTATATTTATGTTCAGTTATTTCACTTTAATTGCATAAAAAAGGACCTATATATTGCCATTAGAGTAAAATTACTGAACTTAAACATAGAAGCCTGATAAAACTGCTCATTTTAGAGGAAAAAGGTTTTTGCATTTGAACTCTTCAAACAGACTAATGAACCTATTGAGAGAATTTTTTTATTTTTGGTTTACAGTCCAGTACAGTCAGATGTTACCCTGCAGTTTACAGTGCACAGAATCTACAGTGACCTTAAAGGAAATTATCTGTGAATGAGAGTGGCCAAATATCTCCACACACATTAGTGATCGACTGATATATCGGCCGACATTTTTAAATATCGGCCGATAAGTTTTCCTGTTTGGCCAATACGAGGCGGAACTTTTATTTTGACGGCGTTGAGAACGGCAGCGCCTGAGCACACAGTGCTCACATTCTCCCTCTTGTTCGCTGTCGTCGTTAACAGTTCTGTCTAATACGGATAGAAGTCTGTCTAATAATCCGATAGAACAGTTAAACAAAGGAATTCAAATGTATACAAAAAGTATTATAACGATTGCTTTTATATTATTAGTAATAGAAAGGCGAACATTCGATATATCGGCCGACATTTTTAAATATCGGCCGATAAGTTTTCCTGTTTGGCCAATACGAGGCGAACTTTTATTTTGACGGCGTTGAGAACGGCAGCGCCTGAGCACACAGTGCTCACATTCTCCCTCTTGTTCGCTGTCGTCGTTAACAGTTCTGTCTAATACGGATAGAAGTCTGTCTAATAATCCGATAGAACAGTTAAACAAAGGAATTCAAATGTATACAAAAAGTATTATAACGATTGCTTTTATATTATTAGTAATAGAAAGGCGAACATTATAATACTTTCTTGTTTGCCGTCAGCATTCAGCAAATATGCATTTATATCATTTAAACAAATCTTTGAATGACTAATGAACATTTAATTTCACAAACCTTGCAAACTTGGTCAAATTCAGCTGTGAGATCGTGTGAAGTGTGCATTTGTATCCTGCATGATCGCGTGTACTCTGTTCAGCTTCACTGGAGACGCGTGATCGACAAACTTTAAACTCATGATTTCAAATTATGCTGCGCTTTATGTATGTGCCCACTGTCATATTCATGTCATTTCCACTGTGTGCTGTAAAATGAGTGTTAGCTTGGCTTTATTTGAAAAAATATGATTCCCAATGCACACAAACTTCCCAGAATACTGAGTGCCCTGTTGGTTACAGTGTTTACTTCCTTTTTTATTATATTTTTTATTTATTTGTGAAAAATACTTTGTCATCTAAAGTATAAGTATGTTTATTTAACACATTTATTTTTTAACCCATTTTCAAATGATTTAAAATTTCTTAAATAATTAATAATAAATAATTAAAATAAATACAATTATATCGGCCATCGGCCACCCTGCTTTCCAAGATATTGGCATCGGCTGTCAAAAAACATATCGGTCGACCACTAACGCACATGCACAAATCTCAGTACAGCATTGCACATGCACACACCCTGTCATGACATGGACGCTCAGAGAGAGTGCCAAACACATCTATTTACAGTATCCTGCACAGCGAAGACAGGAGGACAGTAGGTGTATTTTCTGCTATAAGTCAAATGAATACATTTGAATTGATATTAATACAGACTTTATAGGCAGTACTCTGAGTTTGATTTCCATTCTTTTATTTTATAGAACATAAGGGGCCAGTTTTACTAACAGGCGTTAAAATAGTACTGTCAGGATTTACTAAAGACACACAGTGGGAAATTAACTCTGAAAAGGCATGGACACAGTTATTTTTGCGCCTGACTTTACTGAATATGCATTTATAGGTGTTTCCCCTTCAGACGCAAAATGTATGGGAGGAAATTAATTACACAATGCGATTTACTAATGTTACTACCGTAATTTGCGCTGCTCTTGGTGGATTGCGCTGGTCATTATGTTAATGAGCGGTTGCGTCTGTGTTCTTTAATGTGCGGATTGTCAGTAAATCATGCGCAGAATTTTCCCCTCCCATCGGTGCTTTTATAAAATTGCACTTTAACGCTATTTTGCCCTGTTTAGTAAATCTGGCCCAAGAAGTTCTTTTGGGTGGAGGATACTTCAGATAAGTGATATTATAATAATATAAGTTTATGTTGACGCATAGATGACACAGACATAATCTGTAACTGTAGAATTTCACAGAAAAGCCATGTAGAGTTCAATAGCAGTCATACAAATACAGAGTTCTGGCATGAAAATATAGATGATATCCGATAGATCTAACTCAATCCGACCTAATGACATCATTATCACATGGCACAGCTGATTGGTTCTCTCCTGTATCGGTAGCAAATGAGCTCGCTGATCAACATTCAAATATATGACTAGTGCTTGTCGTAGCAGTTGCAGCTTGCTTCAGAAACCCTCCACCTTCCCCAGCTCCACCTGTATAGATCTCCTACGAGGTGATTCATGTTATTTCATGTATGTTATATTTGCAGCAGCAATATTTCTTACATGCTCACAGCAGCATGTTGTGGATGTATTAGCAGTAGCAAGTCTTGGTACTTGCTCTGCCGCCGCAACAGCAGCAGCAGCGTAGCAGATCTATTCCGCCAAGACCAAATACATTAACATTGTCATGTACATTACCATGCCAATCCCTCCGAGAGTTGTCATGACAGAACTGTTATTTACAAGGCTTACACATGGTTATGCTATTAAAAAACATGTATGAATATCATGAATTTTTTTTAATTGTTACATGGAAAGGTAATGTAATATCCATTTCTATTGTGAATATGAAGTTTTGAGCTATATATTTGATTGGTTAGAAACTGTTCTTTATTCTTTGTAAGGGCATTCCTTATTCTTTTTTTATTTCTTGTAAACTCAATAATCGCAAGTGCTATATCATGGAAATTAATTGATTAATAGTTTTGAAAACCTGATTCACATTTCCTGCTTTAAACAAATGAAATCATTTCAACATAATCTCATGACAATCTGTAACGTATTTTACGTTTTTTCAAAATCATTTGTAGGATCAAATGAATTTGTACAAATGAATCTCTTCACACAGGGTTGAGTTTAGCATTGCAGCTTCTTGCTTCCTTCATTTAAATACAAATTGTTTGTTTCCATACAAATCACATTGCACAAATTCATATGAAATAGCAGTTATGTTTTCTTGTAAGATCAGGTTGGTTCATTTGTCTATAATGTTTTCAGTTTCCAATAAGAGCCATGGTACTTTCTTACATAATTTAACCAAAAATATCAATGTTAAAAATGTTCAAGGACATGTTATTTGTCAAATACCTATGAGAAGTTTTCATAAATGAATGGGTTATTCCAAAAAGCAGTTTGAAAGTAGATTTTAAGTTTACCAGAAGCAAATTTTAAAGGCACACTATTGTCCAGTAATCAGTTATTAAAAGATTTGTTTTGCATGGAGCAAGTTGCCTCATGAGGACCAATATACTGAGCTCACATAATCAAATCACTGCCTGCTTTGTCTGGGAAATAGGGCTGCAACTAACAGTTATTTTGGTTTTCAGCTAATAATATGTTTATTAATCAAATATTTATGTTCAAATCGGTAACTGAAAACATTTGTGTAATGTTGCTTCCACACTGCTAGATGTCAGGATGTCCAAGATGCCTTCCATAGGTCAGTGTGACAATAACAAAAATGAATAAGTGCACCTAATAGGTCTTATCTGGGAAAGAAAAATAATCCATATAATTTTATACAGCCCTGCTGATGTGTGTACCTTTTTTTATTTTTCAGTATGTCTCGGGACCGATATGAAGTTGGCTTTACCCTCCAGTCTTGAGAATCATTATGAAATGCTCAGGCTGCTGTACACGGGCTGCCAGGTGGTTCTTTAAATTACACAGGCATAATAATTTTTAAAAAGCTCAAAGGGTTGTGCATTACATGAATGACCCATCTTAACATAGGCATACTACTTCAAGTAAAACTTAAATAACTGATTGGAATAATAGAATTGCTATTTATTTAAGCTACTCACTTACAATGAGTCTCAATGTCAATCAAAATTGAAAATGAAAATATGTGCTTGTGTTTTGTTTGTCTGTAGGGGATTGTGGAGGTTCAGGGATATGTGCTGATAGCTCACGTCTCAGTGCATTCGGTTCCTCTGGACAATCTGCGGATAATACGAGGCAGCCAGCTTTATAACTCCAGCTACGCTCTCGCTGTACATAACAACATCCACTACAGTCAGACGGAACTCGGCCTGAGAGAACTACACCTTAGGAGTCTTACAGGTAAGGAGTGTGGGTCAAATTTATATTTATTTAAATTTATAGGCCTATACATTTTTTGGATTTAAGCGTGAAAGGGTATTACTTACTATTCTAATTTCCTCAGTCACCTGAGATTAAATGGATGGTGACCGGTCTAGTTAGGGGATGCCACAGATAAGTTTATATTCTCTCTTTAAATGAATAAAATTTTATAAGTCATGAAAATTTCAATTGTGAATATACATTTTTATGCTCAGCTCTAAAAATGTGCTCTTTGTGAGTACTTGTATATTGAGTAAATCCAGCTCAAATGATAACATCAGACTGTCAGTTGAGAGTAATTACTAGTGTGATTCACTGGGTGACAAATGTTAACTATTTCCTACAGAACACAAAGTGGTCTTTCTCCAGGGGTCTTAGAATGTATGTAATTACCGTGTTTTTTTTAATGAAATGAATAAATGCATTGCATTGATTGTTATTTTAAAATCTTGTGCTATCAGTACAATAAAAAAAAGCCTTATCCAGTAATGACACATGACACATGAAAAGACATGGAAATTAATTATGTAACTGAAATGAAATAATATCTGTTTTGCCCCATTGCATCTTTAGGCCTGTCGTCACTTCAATGACAGTGGGACATGTAAAGACAACTGCCCCCCACCCAGCATCTACGACCCCAACACCTTTCAGTCCAAACCCAACAAGGACAAAAAGTTCAACTTTGGAGCCACATGTGTTAAACAGTGTCCCCGTATGTCAAACTTTTAATTTACTAACAAAATATCATGCTGTACTGTATGTCCACAGGTCTTGATTTTTCTTTCTCTGCGTGTGTATGATATATGTTGTACTTTCTACATCTTTAGATAACTATTTGGCAATGGAAGTGGCATGTACAATGGTCTGTCCCAAAGCGAACAAGGAAGTTATTACGGTTGAGCCAGATGGTAAAGAAACACAGAAATGTGAAAAATGTGAAGGAGAGTGTCCAAAAGGTTTGTATATGCATGATGCTAATGGTTCAAGCTGCAATTTAAAGTGTCATTGAGTTCCAAAATGTTTGAAAAAGCACTTCATAACAGTTGTTGTGTATATATATCTTTGCATACACTATATATGTTAGCATCATTTCTCCTATTCCTATCTTATATTAATTTACATATGTGATGTCTGTTAGTGTGTTACGGACTAGGAATGGGAAACCTTCAAGGGGTGTCAGTGGTGGATGCCACCAACATTGGCATGTTCGTTGGCTGTGAGAAAATCTACGGCAGTCTGGCTTTTCTTTCAGACTCCTTCAAAGTGTAAGCAAGGATAGTTGTTCACCTAAAAATTCCAATACTGGTTCTCGTGTTGCCTGTCTTCTTGCTTCTGTGGAACACAAAAGGAAGTTATTAAGAACATTTAGCTACACAAAAACGTATTATAAAAGTGATTCACATGATACATGAACTATATACATGCGATAGATTTGTGTTAGAAACAGACTGAAATTTAAAGGGGTGGGCCAGTGTTTTTTTTCTAGGCCTAATTGTGTTTATGGGGTGCAGTCTAACATGTGTTAATGCTTCGGTTTTTAAAAAAACGCATTATTTTTCACATAATTTACCTTTATTCCACACCGCTCTGTCCCATCTCTGAGAAACGGGCTGATAATTTCCTACTTTTATGAAGCCCCGCCCTCAGAAATAGGCGATGGGCTCTGATTGGTTAGCTAGCCCAGTGTGTTGTGATTGGCTAAACTGCCTCTAGTGCGTGTCTAAACGTCCCGCCCCTCACCTCAGCGGCATGTACTCCGGTTGTATTGTAAACAGCGGCGTCGTTAATATCGCTTATCAGTTTGAGCCCGATTGAGAAGCAGAGGATATTATTGAAGAGGATCGTGCAGAACCTGTGCAAGCACGGCTTTTAATGGTAGGCCTATGTTTTTTGCTTGTTGTTGTCTCATACTTTTAGATACGCTGTTATTTGTAAATGCTACTGCTTATGTTAGCTTTTAATATACAGTTTTATCCTGATTAAAGCTTTAATACAGTACGGCAACTGCACGCGTGTCCATGTTTAACGCTTCTCATAGCTATATGAAAATAAGTGTATAATTGTAACAGTTCATTTTTGGAGCTGAGCTGAATGAGAGAGAGAGAGAGAGAGAGAGCATAATTATTGCATTATATCATTCACATGTAACTGAAATGAAATAATATCTGTTTTGCCCCATTGCATCTTTAGGCCTGTCGTCACTTCAATGACAGTGGGACATGTAAAGACAACTGCCCCCCACCCAGCATCTACGACCCCAACACCTTTCAGTCCAAACCCAACAAGGACAAAAAGTTCAACTTTGGAGCCACATGTGTTAAACAGTGTCCCCGTATGTCAAACTTTTAATTTACTAACAAAATATCATGCTGTACTGTATGTCCACAGGTCTTGATTTTTCTTTCTCTGCGTGTGTATGATATATGTTGTACTTTCTACATCTTTAGATAACTATTTGGCAATGGAAGTGGCATGTACAATGGTCTGTCCCAAAGCGAACAAGGAAGTTATTACGGTTGAGCCAGATGGTAAAGAAACACAGAAATGTGAAAAATGTGAAGGAGAGTGTCCAAAAGGTTTGTATATGCATGATGCTAATGGTTCAAGCTGCAATTTAAAGTGTCATTGAGTTCCAAAATGTTTGAAAAAGCACTTCATAACAGTTGTTGTGTATATATATCTTTGCATACACTATATATGTTAGCATCATTTCTCCTATTCCTATCTTATATTAATTTACATATGTGATGTCTGTTAGTGTGTTACGGACTAGGAATGGGAAACCTTCAAGGGGTGTCAGTGGTGGATGCCACCAACATTGGCATGTTCGTTGGCTGTGAGAAAATCTACGGCAGTCTGGCTTTTCTTTCAGACTCCTTCAAAGTGTAAGCAAGGATAGTTGTTCACCTAAAAATTCCAATACTGGTTCTCGTGTTGCCTGTCTTCTTGCTTCTGTGGAACACAAAAGGAAGTTATTAAGAACATTTAGCTACACAAAAACGTATTATAAAAGTGATTCACATGATACATGAACTATATACATGCGATAGATTTGTGTTAGAAACAGACTGAAATTTAAAGGGGTGGGCCAGTGTTTTTTTTCTAGGCCTAATTGTGTTTATGGGGTGCAGTCTAACATGTGTTAATGCTTCGGTTTTTAAAAAAACGCATTATTTTTCACATAATTTACCTTTATTCCACACCGCTCTGTCCCATCTCTGAGAAACGGGCTGATAATTTCCTACTTTTATGAAGCCCCGCCCTCAGAAATAGGCGATGGGCTCTGATTGGTTAGCTAGCCCAGTGTGTTGTGATTGGCTAAACTGCCTCTAGTGCGTGTCTAAACGTCCCGCCCCTCACCTCAGCGGCATGTACTCCGGTTGTATTGTAAACAGCGGCGTCGTTAATATCGCTTATCAGTTTGAGCCCGATTGAGAAGCAGAGGATATTATTGAAGAGGATCGTGCAGAACCTGTGCAAGCACGGCTTTTAATGGTAGGCCTATGTTTTTTGCTTGTTGTTGTCTCATACTTTTAGATACGCTGTTATTTGTAAATGCTACTGCTTATGTTAGCTTTTAATATACAGTTTTATCCTGATTAAAGCTTTAATACAGTACGGCAACTGCACGCGTGTCCATGTTTAACGCTTCTCATAGCTATATGAAAATAAGTGTATAATTGTAACAGTTCATTTTTGGAGCTGAGCTGAATGAGAGAGAGAGAGAGAGAGAGAGCGAAAGAGAGAGAGAGAGAGAGAAGCAGAGCGTGTGTAGAGCAGGGGGACACGAGGAACAGTATTAAGAACCGCTGCTTTAGAACATTGATTTAGAAACTTGTGAATCCATTAGAATTCATATATGAATAGATTTTTACGTGCAGCTAGTTTTCTCTTCCTCTTCTCTAAAGCAGTGCAGCATGGCCTCGCCCCCTTTGCTGCCTTTTCCCGAGGGCGGGGTTTATCTGGGTTTGTGATGTCATGAACCCGGGAAGTAACTTCTTGTAGTCCCTACCAGCCGTTTTTGTAGGCATTAAACTGCCAGAATTTTAAAAGACGATATCTCCGTTTGCATTGATCTTTCAGCTTCGTAACTTTGCAGATATTGTTTATGCTCAAACAGCAACATTACACACTAACGTTAAAAAAGTGAAATCGCAATCAAACACCCCTTTTAAGAGTTTTCCCCTCTGCTTTAGATCTCAAACTGTCTATCGCTTTTATTCGATAAGGAAATGTGCATAAACTTCGCTGGAAGCATTCACAGAATAAATTGCAAAAAACTCACATGACTTTGCCTCGAGATCATGTGATTGAGTAACTGGCCTAACCAGCAGATCAATACCATTGCACACCATCTGTTGTTGTCATCCTGAAATGCCTGAGCCAAAGTGATCAAAATGATATAATTATGTCTCTCATGATTGTGTCACAAAATCAGGCATTTGCCTCTGAAGGCAAGATAAAGTAACAGCATTTGTTATTGCGTTTCGTCTGGTAAAAGTATTGTATAAAAGTCACAGGCTTACCTGGTTGCAAGATCCTTTTTATTATTTTATTACTCATGATTTGTGCCAGATTCCCAGGAAGTGAAGATTTTGTTCTCTTAAACACATCGAATGTGTTTATTTGCAAATGTTTGATGCAATATTCTTCTTTTTTTTACCTTTTGTGTTTCACAGAAGAAATGAAGTCATATGGGTTTGCAATGACATGAGGGTGACTAACTAGCTGACTTTAAATAATTTCTTCTAATCTAAATATTTCTATCCATGACTGTGGTATTGTTATACCTATTGTTACACTTATTGTATTAAAATCTCTTGTGTTGTTAATACAGAAATGCAGCTACCAATTCATCTGGACTGCAGTGGAGCGACCTGGAAAAGTTAAAGACAATAGAAGAAATCACAGGTGAAGATCACAGTTCATATGGACTCACATCATAAAGATTATAAAGGAAATACAAGTCTATACCGTAGATCTGAACTAAAATCTGCATAACAACACTACTTGTCGTACCAGTCAATCATTAAATGAAATTTGCATTTGCAATAACATTATATTTGTATTTTAGGATACCTGTACATAGATGCATGGCCAGATTATTCGTTTGCTCTGAATGTTTTTGAGAACTTGAAGGTGATCAGAGGAAGAATGCTTTACAAGTAAGTATATATTTTTTTGTCTGTTTTTGGTTCGTACTTGAAATCTCTCTTCTTTTGCTTTTTGTTCCTTATTTCCTGTTTCCTAATTCTGTCTTTAAACACATGTGATTTGCTAGACTGTTTACCCACTTTTCTTGTTTGTCTAATGTCTAGTTAGACTTATCAAACCTGCAGTTTCCTGTTAGTTGTAAAAGTTAATTATTATCCTGTACACTTGCTTGACACACACAAATGGGGCTATGATAGATTAGTAGCTTGAAACCCACTAAGAACAATTCAGCATTATAGAAAGGACATTTGCACAAGCAAACGAAGCAGTTTTTCTGCTTAAATGTATAAATCTAGTAATCTACTTGGTGATCTAGTTAATGTATTTAAATCATCTTTCTCTCTCTGCAGGGGTGTTTTCTCTTTGGGAGTTCAGTCTTTGCAGATCGAGTCTCTCGGGTTGCGTTCCTTGCGCAGTGTCAGTGGAGGCATAGTACTGATTTATAATAACTCCAGACTGTGCTACACCTCCTCTCTGCCCTGGAACTCACTGCTCCACCCCACACAGGGACCCAACCTCATCAGCAACAACAACCAAGACCAGCAAACATGTGGTTAGAGCCCATTCTTATGTTTGTCTGACTGGAGCGATGCATGCTGTACAATACAGTCATGAATACTGTGCATCTTTAAGCATGACACATGGCAGAGTGACTATATGCACATCATGGCGTTGAGTACCTTGTCGTTTTTTCAAAACAGTTACAACATAATTCAAATATTATGTATGCAAATTCCCATTAAATACCAGCATTGTAACCCTACTAAGCCTACTGTATCATATTTGATATGCACATTTCTAACTAAGACCTCTGAATTAACTATTATCACTGAAAAACATGTTGTACACAGTCTTTTACATGCCTTCTGTCACCTTTTGGTACAACTGTGAAAACGCCACCTTCAGGTTGTGTTTTTTTCCAGTATTTCATTTCTCTGTGAAATTTTTACTGATTTTGTTTTATTTTTTTCTTTTGAAGGAAACGAATAGCTAAGAATAGCTTTTATATTGTTATGAATATTTTAAAATGAACACTTACTGGGCTGAAGCAGCTT